ATAATAATTATATATATATATATATATATATATATATATACAATGCATATATATACAAATATCGAAATATATTATAATTGAAATTTTTAATTTTTATTAATATAAATTACGATTACTATTATAAATTACTTACTATTATACTTTTAGACTTACTATTATAAATTAAAATTTATTTGTATATATTGTGTTATAATTTTTATTTTTAAATTGTTTATCGTGTTACATAAAGTAAAAATTTAATTAAATCTGTTATAACAAAAATTATACTAATACTTATTAAAATACAAATTTATTAAATGCAAATCTTGATAAATAATTTTAAGGACTCACCGCCAGATTGAGATATACTGGGTGGAGCTGTGGGTTGCGGAGGATTGGGTACAGTACCAGTGGGACCAAAAGCAGTAAATTCTGACAAGTTTGTACTTCGAGAATCCTGAGGATTAATTGCTAAGAATCCTGATATTTCTGGCTGAGAACCATGGCGTGCTTGTGGCGTTATGTAAGGATTAGACTCGTGCGTCGTTCCGCTGGTGTTCTCGGGTACCTGACTTATCTGCGATCCCAAGGAATCAGTTTTAGTCGATGACAATGACAAATTTGGTAGAGAAGAGAGAATCGATGTGAAATATCCTGGTTTTGACGATTGATTTGATGTATCCTTATTTTCTTTTGGCTGAGAGGATACATTCGTGGGAGAATTCTCATTCGTCCTTGATGGAGACTGAGATTGAATATTCACCCTCTCTTGGCCTATGAAATTGTCGAGCTCAGTATCTAAAAAGAAAAAGAAAAAGATAACTGCTTATTTACATTTTTAAATATATGAATAAAATATAAGGATATATATATAAACATATATGTAAAATATATGTACATATGTATAATTTATCAGATATTATATAATATATTAGCAATACTATTCTGGTAGTTAGTTTATTTATCTAAAAGTATTACTATAATAAACTTTATGTAACGTCTTATATAACTTTCTAATTTAATTAAACATTTATTTCATTAGAAATATATAAAAGTATATATAAACTTATTTTTTGCATAAGTAAAAATTTTGTAATAATACCTGTATAGATATTAAAAGAATATTTCAAATAAATATAATATACAGAATTAAATGTCTATATAATATTTTGCATAATATTAATATTTTTAATCAAATAAATAAATATATTTAGACAAATTTTATCTGGTTATTAAGATTATTTAATGATTAATTTAATCTGGTATTATTTTATTTACTAAGAGTGATTATAAGAGAGAGACATTTTCGAAAATTTATACATAATCATTCTTAGTAACCAGGTAAAATAATATGTGTTCACAAAATATCATCTTTAACTAAATTCTCCAGGGCATTAATCACTATCTGTCAATATTGAACAGGATGCAATGAATGTAAGAATCAGTGATGGAGATAATACGAGCCAATAAAGAATTTTTTACGTAATTCAGTACGATTATGCTAACAAATTACGACTATTAACGGTTTTATATTAACACATTCACACATTATACATATTCAAATTTAAAAGTAATGCCATGATTAATAATAATGTTCAATATATTCAAAGCTAAAAATTCATATCAGTAGTGTGGTAACATTTTATGCATCATTCAATATTAATTTCTGCGCACTTATTATTAAGTTATTAAAAAAATAAACAACTTACACAACAGTAAAAATGTTTTCATATTTACACATGTTCTTAATAAATTTATTGTTATTATTTATGTAGTTAAAAGAATATGTTTAGTATTACCAAATTTCAATAACAGATATAACATAGATATAATATTTAATTTATTTGTATTAAATAAAAACAAAAAACAAGGACGGAATGAATAATTTTATATAACCTTCTTTATATATGGTTTGAATAATAAAAAATATTGACAATCAAAATCATCACAAAATGTTATATATTACCATAAAAGAACGGTTGTCACTTTTTCTTGACATTAATTTCAAAAGAAAAGATTGTAAGTAAAAAATAATATTATTATATAAAATTTATTATGAATTTATAATGAATTTGAGTAAATTTTTTATTTAACACACAGAATTAGGATACCACGCTATAGACATGATATTTATAAGTTCATCCTGTATCAAGATTTACTCATAACAAGATACTTTCAATTGTGTAATGACGCATGTTAACACCTAAATTTACTTTTGCGTTCATGTTATCGTCAATGTAACTGAAGACACGTTACGCTTCTGTAAACTTAAGCAAAGGAAACTTTATAAGTATGCCGCACATTTTTGCGTCGAGTCTTTAGTTCGAGGTTTTCCTTACGGCCACGATATGGAATTACGCGTGTTTCGGTTTTTTCTGACGTGCTATCTCACTTGTACTCTATGCAGATATGCAATTAGTGGATCAACGCTCACTGAAGTTTTCTCGATCATTAATAACACTTCTCAATCGGATGCAAGAAAATCTGAGATAGGCAATACAGGAACTGAACGATCAATCGTGACGGAAACGAGACTGGATGAAGTTATTTTGAAAGATGATCAGTCTAAAATTGAAATTCCACATTTATCAACAGTGACGAGCGATTTTAAGAAAGCAAAATGTTCTAGGTTTGTCATTAATTTACTCAATAATATTTATATAAAATTAATATTATATATGTTACAATTTTACTATTTTTTTCAAATTGCAAAATCTGTGGATATATTTTTAATATATAAACATATAAAAATAGATAATCGTACCGAAAAGTATTACTTTTAACAGACCAATTTCTTTCAAATAAGAAAAATATTTCTGTTAAAAGGTACTGTATAGAGCAGTTGGAAAATAATAAAGGTTTTGAAGACATTAATCTTTTTTGGTTATTCGCCGATCAACAAAACGAAGAGGGTAATAATTTCAGAATTTCTAATGTAAATGAACTTATTTAAGATATAATTGCTAATGACATTACTTATCATATTTGATTAACCTCTGACATAACAAATTCTGATATTGTCAATTATTAATTTTTAATTATATATTCTGACGATAATCAATGACGCATAATTAAACATTATCTAAAATTTTTAATATAAGGTTATAAATAATAACGAAATAATGAGGAAAATTGAAAATAGTGATATTACAAATAAAATGTTATATATTCTACGTATCAATTTAAGAAATCAAATTAAATTAATATTATAATTATTAATGTATTAAAATTAGATATAAAATTATTTTATTATGTTATTATAATTTTACTAAAAAAAAATAAAAATAATTATATACATACATAATATCATTATAGCTATTTCATTTTGAAGTTGCCTTTTAAATAGTAATATTAAAAATGATAAATATAATAAATAAAATAATAAATGTAAATAACACTACATTATAAACATATTTATATACATGCAAGAAAATTTAATTAAATATCTTTTATGTTTCATAAATTATTAAATTATTAATATAAAATTTTAAATAAATTTTTATTTAAATATGCTGCATAACATTTTTTATATAATACAATATTCTATATAAATTATTTCACAAAATGAATAAATACATGCTTTTATTTAAAAAGAAAATGCAAAGAAAAATATTTCAACAACCAATATGTAAATTAAAGTCATTAATACAAAAATCAAACAATATTTAATATAAATAGACATTTAATATGCAAATTAGAAATATACAAATTAGAAAAATAGTTCATCATATCATAAATATAATCATATCAGTAAATTTTATATAATTATTTTTTGTTATTTCAGAGTATTTTTCAATAGAAAATAGCCCAAACTTAAAGATATTTAGATCTTCAGATAATAAAAATTCAACAATTTTAGACAATTGCCGAGTAAGTTTTTTTTCAAGAAAAATTCGTCAACTAGATAATTGTTATTATATATTTACTTACAGATTTATCTTAATTTAAACTGTGATATTATAAATAAGGAAAGAAATTTGATTACTCAAAACAAATTGTACTTGAATTCTGAATTTAATCAACAACGCGAAAAATTTAAAAATTATTTTTCGAATACTACTCCAGAATTTTCGGTAAGTTAAAAATTAACATTTTTGTATAAAAAAAAAAAAAATACGGAGAAAGAGAAAAATTAAATATATGTAATTAATATATTTAAAAAATTAATATATATTAAATGTTTTGAAAATTAATATATATGTAAATGTTTTAGAAGATACTAGTTCACACACCTAATTTAAGCGGATATACTGAAACTAACTTTCAAGTTGATACCAATGTAATTGAACTTATAATCAATATATTTGGAAATTTCAGTGCAGTTATAACAATACCTATAAGTAAGTCACTTTATTTTTTGCTTTCAAATATAAAGAGATTTGTTTTTATTTTAAAAATATCTCCACATCTAGATCATTTTAATCAAAAATTTAACAATATACTTTATAACAAGGCTCTAAACATTTTTTGTATTTAGATACTTGAATATTAGTATAGAATATTAGTAAAATCATAAGAATAAATGAATAATATAACGTAAACTGATCAATGTTAGATATTTTCAATATATTTTATTTTCTATTTATATTATCTATTCTATATAAAAAAAACACTTATGATAAAAAAAATATTACTAAACTACTGTGAAACAAATTGCAGATTGAATCATTAATTCTCTTACTTATATACGCATTTTCTTATTATAAACGCGTTCAAACATATATAGAATCACTTTCGTTACATTCAGTTTTGTTTAACCTCTATGCACCAAGGACAATATCGACCAGGTAGTTACTTCCTTCATATATATTTATTGCGCCGCACTAAATGATTATATCGCACAAGAATTACTTTTTGCACTTTTTTGTTGATTTATAATTTTTTCTAATTTATCAATACACAATATATTTCACACATAGAAAATTCTTCTAAAATCAATAATGTCAGTTTAATATACATATGAAACATTATTGTCAAAATGCGATTCATTTCTTATCAATTAATTTGTCTTACCATAAAAATTAATGAGATGTTTAATTTAAGAATAACATTCACTTCCAATACACTTCAACAGACAGAACGATTGAGAGACCAGGGATGGTGATGTCATCGGCAAGTATATACAATGAAAAAGGGGTTGTTATCGGCGCGCGCAACCTACCGGGTAGATGGTGCGTGAAGCTAACGGGAGTGGAAAATTCAAAATACGACTTCTACGTGATCGCTTATTATAAAGCAAGTGAGGAAAACAGGAAGAACAATATTATCAATACTAATTCCACAAATGGTAAACAAAGTTTCACAATAACATGTAATGTTAGTTACTATACATATGAATATTATAGAAATAAATAATTATTTATTGATTGTCAAAACAAGGAAAGTTTTAATATATTTTGTTTTGTTCATTAAAAATATTCATTGAAAAATATTTCCATTTTAATGTATTTTGAGAATGTGTTTCTTAACTTCTGATGTCATCGATCCAAATAGCTACATCCGTATTCCATATGCAGAAACCGTATATATTTCATATATATTAATTATAAAGTTTTTAATTTCAGATAATTAATAGTTTTATATACAAGATCAAATTTTATCTTTTGATTTCTAATTTCTAAGTCAAATAACCGAAGAAATTTCAAAATCAATTTTATATGAAAATTGATATTATATAAATAGAAAGTAAAATTAATTTTGTAAAAAAGCTTTAGAAAGATTTAAATAAATTGCAAGTAAACATACCAATATTATTGCATAATTATAGACTCATCCAGAATTATGTTGAAAAAAAAACAACATATAACAGCATAGCACGCAATAATCGGAGAACTTCGTATATCATATTATCGTAATAATGCTTACGCTTTTTATGATAAAATCGTATTCATTTTTTATATTGCAAATAAGTCACGATTTAAGAAATCGGCAAAATACACGAGTTACGCACTCCCGCACAACTTCCAACTTCCTCTTAATACGGCAGTCGTCTGACAACTGCCAACTCGTTGGCTTCTGGCTCGCAGATACGTGGACTTGTGCAATTCACTCTCTGCCCTTTGGCCACGGATATTCTCTCTTTCTCTCTCTCTCTCTCTCTCCCTCTTTT